CCGGAGTGATTTCCGTAGATTGGCTCAAATCCATCTTTATCGCAATACGTAAAAAACACAATGCGAGAAAATGCTCAGAATATCGATTAATTAGCCTAATGAGCCACAGTCTTAAAATTTTTCTCAGAATACTTCACAACAGAATTAGACGCAAATGCGAAGAAGATCTTGAAGATACCCAATTTGGTTTTAGAAATGCTATGGGAACCAGAGAAGCACTTTTTGCGCTTAACATCCTATTACAAAAATGCCCCGACCAAAGAAAAGATGTATTTGCATGTTTCGTGGACTTCGAAAAGGCATTCGATAAAGTACAACATGTAAAATTAATGCAAATACTGAAAACTATCAGAATAAATGACAAGGATATTCGTGTCATTAAAAATTTGTACTGGAAACAAACTGCTATCGTAAAAATCACAGATAACTACACCGATGATATCCCCATACAACGAAGAATCAGACAAGGTTGGATATTGTCGCCAACATTGTTCAAGGTTTACTCGAACCAGTTATTTAAAAAGGCACTTGAGAGACAACCATATGGAATAAAAATCAACGGGGAACTACTTAATGTGATTAGATATACAGACGATACAGTAATTCTATCAGATAATATTCAAATTCTGCTTGATCGTATTCACGAGGTAGGAGAGGAACTGGGGATTAAAATAAACTCAAACACAACCAAATTTTTAGTGTTTAGTCGTGACCCACATTCCGATGCAAAGCTTCAATTGAACGGAGTCAAGTTGAGAAAGTTCAAAAAATGACATATTTGGGAACTGTGATAACGGACCAACTAGATCCAGACATAGAACTAAAACACAGAATAGCAATGACTAAAACTACTTTTATGAAAATGAAGTCATTTCTTTGCAATAAACATATCAGTTTCGAACTAAGGCAAAGAATGGTTAAGTGCTATGTTTGGTCTGTACTTTTGTATAGTGCAGAAGTGTGGATGCTAAAAGTATCGATCATGAACAAAATTGAAGCATTGGAAATGTGGATTCATAGACGAATGCTGAAAATACCTTGGACAGCAAGAAAAACTAATGAAGAAGTACTAAGGAGCGTCAAAAAAGACAGAGAACTGCTAAAGACTGTTAAACATCGAAAAATGTCTTATCTGGGACATATAGTAAGGTGAAGTCGATATAAAATATTACAACTGATCCTTAAAGGCAAAATAGAGGGCCGTAGAGGCGTAGGAAGAAAACAAGTTTCTTGGTTAAAAAACATTCGTGAATGGACTCAGATACCAAATGCAGGACAATTATTATATATTGCAGAAGATCGAGAAGCATTCGCAATGGTGATAGCCAACGTCGGATAAATCTGATATAGCACGTGAAGAAGAAGATCAATGTTATGGATAATGCAACATTCGTCCGGTCTATTAAATTAATAGGCCAAGGTGGCTAGGACACTTTGAAAGAATGGACACTGGAGACCCCCAAAAGACAGATATTATATCAAGAGCCAGTAGAAACCAGGAAGAGAGGCAGGCCAAGATCTAGATTTTAAAACTCCTAGAAGATGACTAGAGGAATCTAGGGATCAGAAATTTGAAAGCCAGGGCGAAAGATAGGGGTAATAGAGACTAATTCTTAAACAGGCCAAGACACACCCAGAGTTGTAGAGCCAAACATGATGATGATAATTAAATGAAATTTGTACTTGTAATAAAAAAAGTAATCTATTACAATAATTCGGCATCATATCTAAAAACCTGTAAAATTATGTAAATATAAGTTGTAAATTTATGGCTAGCGATTAACATTTAGTGTTAAGTTAAATTTGCACATATATTTGCTAATGAATTATGTTATCAATTTACAATACAGGGTGTAATAAAAAAAGATACGTAATAAATTAAATCACGTATTCTGGGACTAAAAATAGTTCGATTGGACCTAACTTACCTTAGTACAAATGTGCTCATAAAGAGTTATAGCTCCTTGAAGTTACAAAATTAAAATCGACTTTTTCCATTATATCGAAAACTGTTAGAATTTTTATATTAAAAATAGTCATGTGGCTTTTTTATGGCAGGAATGTCTCTTAGTACTTTTTCTATAAGGCAGTTTTTATCAAGATGAGGCTACTTTTTTTTAGTTTTAAAAATTCTCTATTCGATTGTATAACACTTGTTGCTATGGTTCTATCTATCTATCTATAGCCCAAAATCTATTTATGTGTTGAATATAGGCCTCTCCCATTTGTCTTCATTTGTCTCTGTCTTCTGTTTGTCTTTGCCACATTGGACCTGCGCTTTGCTCAATGTCATCTTTCCTCTCATTTACGGTTGACCTCTTGACCTTTTTGCAGTATATGATCTCCAGCGGCCAATTTCTTTATTCCATCTTCCATCCTGATATCTTTCGTTATGCCCAGCCCATTTCCCTATCTGAGTTACTCTTGGTACACGTCCACGTCTGGGCACCATATGTCAGAACAGGTAGGACGCATGCATTAAATACCTTCGTTCTTAATATTAAAGGTATTTTTTGGTTTTTGATAGTATATGAAAGTTTTCCGAATGCAGCCTACCCTATTCTTATTCTTCTGGTTATTTCTTTAGTCTGGTTACTTTTATCTGCTCTGATAGCTTGTCCTAAGTAAATGTATTCTTGGACGTGTCCTATATTTGTTCCACCTATGGTAATTACTGATCTATCTTCTGTATTAGTCATTATTTTAGTTTTCTTTAAATTCATTTTTAGTCCTTTCTCAAGAGATGTTTCTTCTAGGTCTGAAATTATTATTCGTAGTTGTTCCAGGTGTTGCTATCAGGAGTACATCATCGGCGAATCTTAGATGATTTATATATATCCCGTTTATAAAAATCCCTTTATTGTCCCAGTCTATAGATTTAAAAATGTCTTTCAACGTCAGAGTAAATAGTTTGGGTGAGATTGTATCCCCTTGTCTGACACCTCTACAAATTCTAATTAATGGAGTTTGCAAATCTCTGTCTAGCTGAATTCTCATAGTGGCGTTTTGATATATATATTGTGGATTAACATTATGTACCGTGAATCTATTCGGCAATTAACTAGTGCTTCTTTCGCTTTTTTATAGTCAACAAACGCTAGGTATATTGGAAGGTTGTATTCGTTGATCTTTTCTATCAAAATTTTAAGAGTGTGAAGGTGGTCGGTTGTGCTGTACCTCTTTCTAAATCCTGCCTGATCAATTGGTTGGTATGCATCAAATTTGTTGTTTAGTCTAGTTGTGATCACCTTAGTGAAAGTTTTATAGATTCATGACAAGAGAGATATTGGTCTCTAGTTAGCTAATTTTGATCTATTTCCTTTCTTATATATCAGAATTGTATTTGTCTTGTTCCACTCTTGCGGTATTTGTACTTCAAACAAACATTTATTAAAAAGTATCTTTAGGTAGTCTTTTATCTTTTCTCTCCTTCTTTTAACATTTTAATTAGAATGTCATCGTCTCCCGGAGCCTTATTTTTTTTTCTTATCTCTAATTGCTTTTTCTATTTCTTCCCCGGTTATGGGGGGTAATATTTCAGAATTTACATTCATTTTTTTTTTTTCAGGTTTTGTTGAGTTGTATCAGGTGGACTGTTTTTAGAGCTGTAGAGGTCACTATAATATTCCCTTGTTATCTTAGATATTTGGGTTCTGCTTTTTTTCTATTACACCTTGTTTATTTTCCATCTCTATGATTTTATTTCTTCCTAGGTGGGACTTGATAGATCTTAAGTTTCTGTTTTCTTCTATAATCTTCTCGATTCGTTCTTCTTAATACCGTTTGAGATCTTGTTTTATATGTCTTCTTATTTCTGCATTAAGGGTTTTGTATTCATTTGTATTTCTTTTATTTTCTTGCAGTAGGCTTTTCCGTTGTTGTAGCATGTCTAAAGATATGGCACATGAATTTTGCTGGTGCTACTTCTAAGCTAGTCTTTAGAAGTTCTTCAGTGATGGCTTTGTTTAGTTGATCTAGATTTAGGTCTGTTAGCTTTAGTTCTTCAGGTGTTCTTCCTATGGTTACTATGTAATAAATATGTTGCTATAATTAATATGTATTAAATAATAGCAGCAACAACACATATTGTCAGTAATAAATATTCCAAATATTGTGCATTTACGATTATTAAGAAAAACTAAATTTATGGGAGATATGCATTTAATTCTGGGTAAGTTTGAGCAGACTAACTTAGAGTTTTAAGATCATTGTTGCTAATTTGGTAATTACAGGTTTATGTCAAGGAAATAGTGCAGTAGCAGCAAGGCATTATTAAGAAAAATATCCTAATCAAAATACACCAGGCAGACAATTGTTTCTTTCCATTACGCGTCGATAACAAGAGACAGACACATTACGATCGCAACTTGTTGGTAATAATGGTCGACCAAAGTAGATACAAATGATGAAGAGATATTGGAAGCAGTTAAAGAAAACGCTGAAAGCAGTGTAAAAGAGTAGTAGCGGCTCAATTAGATGATTTTCACATGATGATTTTAAGAAGATTCAATTCCATCCTTATCACTTAACACCCGTTCAAGAAATACTGGATGAAAATGATCCCAAAAAATGGGGTTTTGCAATTGGCTTTTAACCGAAAACACACAAAATGTCAATTGTTTAAATCATGTTTTGTTTGGCGACAAGGCTACTTTTTTACAGAAATGGCATTACGAACCATCATCACACACCTTGGCCGAAGAAAACTCCCACGCAATAAAGTCTTATCACAAAAGAGGTGCTATAGAATATCATGGCTGCCCAACCTGAGAGAGGGGTATGTAGATGTTCGCCGCGGAGATGGCACTACAACAGAAAAAGTGGGGGAAAACGATTTTAAACTACAGATTTTGAATTTGTGAACAATATTTTATTAAAATTACTCGACTTAATAAAATAAAATCTCAGTCTGGCCAATTGGTTCCCCCATGGGAAATCTGAAGAAAAAAACTGTATGATGGCAAAATAATGATTGTGCTTTTTCTTATCAAATATCTTACCTCATCACTATATTCGTCAAATGGATCCAAATTCTTTCTGAGCGTTCCTGAAAACAGAACAGGCTCTTGAGGAATTATAGAAATCTTCGACCTGAGCGATCTTAGACTGATCTTCTTAGTATCAACCCTATCAATTAAAATACTTCCGTCTATATGGGCCAATCGAAACAGTGCTTGGATTAGAGATGACTTTCCTGCTCCAGTTCTTCCTACGATACCAACTTTCTCCTTGGGTTGTATAACAAAGTTTAGTCCTTTGAGAACTGCTGGATCTTCTGGGGCATATTTTAAAGACATGTTATTGAATTCAATCTTTCCTTCTTCGGGCCATGTTTTAGCTGGTTCACTAGAATGCTCGTCTTCCTCTTGTACCAAGTCTGCGTATTCCTGCACTCTTTCGACAGATGTCATTTGGTTTTCGAACTCACTCCATTGACGCATGCCATATTGTAATATACCAGTTATTGCCATAGCTTGAGTTAGGGCCAAACCCATGTTTCCTCCATATTGTTCTAAAATGGACAATATGGTTTGTTAATAATTAAACATAAAAAGTATGAATCGGTGTCTATTAAAAATTTTAAGTCAAATTATTTAAAACAATTTAATTAACACTTGTATTTTTTTAACCTTAAAAAAGTTAATTTTTCTCGTAAATTTAAAAGCCGCCAACAATCTTCAAGAGAAAAGAATAAAAGTTTATGATACTTTTGTATGAGAAAAAGTTATAGATGTCTTTTGAAACATACACTACAAGGGTATTTTCTTTTGTGCAAATGACGCTTACTATTTATCCAATGACATTAGAGCAACAACACAAATTTTAAACCTCATAGTATTTCCAAATATTATATGATCAGTCAAAAACAACATTCCAAATGAATTTGTGCATCAAAATTGCTTGTGCTGATTTCCACGGATCTGACATAGATCAAATCAATCGTAGAATCCAAAAGAGGATTTATAAACATTCCATTTCTGTTTGCAATGCAGATTCATATTCAGCTCTAAGTCAACAATACCTTTACACAGGTCACAAAATTGGTTTTTAAAACTGGGGAACCGTGGATCACATTCTTCTTCTTCAGATGCAAATCCACTAATGGATGTTAGCGATCACATTTTCCATTAATACTCTATTTCTTGCAATATGTATCAGAGATTGTATGTCGTTAATCCCTGTCCATTGCCTTATGTTTCGGAGCCAGGACATTTTCTTGCGTCCCATTCCCCTCTTGCTCTCAATTTTACCCTCGATTATAAGTTGGAGGAACTGGTATTTTTCATTTCGCATGATGTGACCTAGATACGCCGTTTTCCTTTTCTTAATGGTTTCGAAAAGTTGGCGTTCTTGGTTTATTCTTTTAAGGACATCTATATTTGTGATTTTCGCTGTCCATGGTATTTTTAGGATACGGCGATAAAGCCACATTTCGAAAGCTTCTAATCTGTTTATATCCCTCGTTTTGAGTGTATAGCCCTCTACGCCATATAGCAGCACTGACCATACGTAGCACTTACTAAACCTTAGTCTCAGTTGAAGATCGAACTCTGAACAAGTCAGTACCTTCTTGAATTTTACGAAAGCTTGTCGAGCTTGCTCAATCCTACATTTTACTTCCCTGTCCGATGCCCAGTCTTCAAAAAGTTACGATCCCAGATATATAAATTTACTCACTCTTTCTATGGATTTACTATTCAGTGTTATGGTGGAGTTTTCAAGTGCATCCAAGTTTCTGGAGATGATCATGAATTTGGTCTTTTTGGTATTAATCTCTAATCCCATTCGCTCACTGTATTCTCTGATTATAGTGACAAGTTGTTGAAGATCGAATATGTTGTCACAAATTAAGACACCATCATCAGCATATCGTATGTTGTTGATCATTACTCCATTCACCTTGATTCCCATCTCTGCATCCTCCAAAGACTATTGAAATATGGCTTCCGAATAAATGTTAAATAAAAGAGGGGAAAGCACACATCCCTGTCGAACGCCTCTTCTTATATGTATGGGCTTGGATATAGAATTGTCTATTTTTAGCTGTGCCGTTTGATGCCAGTACAAGTTTTCAATGCATCTTATGTCTTTTTGGTCTATATCAACTTTCTTGAGAATCTGCATTAACATTGCATTGGACACGATCAAACGCTTTTTGGTAGTCTAAAAAGCATAGGAACACATCCTTCCTCTGATCGTAACAATTTTGGACCAGCACCTGTGTTGCTACTATTGCTTCTCGTGTTCCTAAACCTTGCCTAAACCCGAACTGGGAATCACTGATGTCCCATTCACATTTTTTGTATAATCTTTGATGTAGTATTTTTAAGAATATCTTTAAAGTGTGACTCATCAGGCTAATGATTCTGTGATCCTCACATCTTTTTACATTGAATTTCTTGGGCAGGGGAATAAAGGTAGAGCGTAACCACTGTTGAGAATAGCAGCCAGTTTCATAAATTAAATTAAATATTTTGTGTAGTGCTGAAATTCCCCTTTCATCTAGTAATTTGAGTATTTCTGACGGGATCTCATCTGGTCCAGGTGCCTTATTGTTTTTTGAATTTAATATTGCTTTTTCTATCTCCTCTTTGGTGATTAAAGGGCCAGTCAGCTGGTCGTCTGTACAAACTTCACTCATAGGTCTTTCGTCATGGAAGAGCTCCTGGATATAATTTTCCCATATATCAATTTTCTCCTTTTCACCCAGCACTATCTGGTTATCCTGATTAAGTATGGTAGTTGGTCTTCGTTTTCTGTATATTCCAACAGTCTCCTTAAGCTTTTTATGTAAATTACGGTCGTCGTGCTGTCGTTGTAAATGTTCTAGATCGGTACATTGTTGCTTAAGCCATTCATTTTTTGCTATTCTTATTTTTGCTTTTATTTGCCTGTTAATGTTTTGATACATATTGCTGCCATCTTGGTTATTCTTGTGTCTTCGTCGTTTTTCAATTAGTAATAGTATTTCTTCTGTTATTGATTTTTGCCTCTTGTTATTTCGTTTGTACCCTAAGTTGTTTTTCATGATGTCTGTTACAGCACTTGTCATCGTATTCCATGGTGGTGTTAGATCTTCGGCAATGTTTGTCGTCAATATTTGAATTTGTGCGTTTATCTCATTGCTTATTTCTGCTTGTATCATTGGGTCTTTCAGTTTGTCCAGTGCTATCTGTTGTTGAGTTTCAGACTTGTTCTTGCATGAAAGAGCGATCTTTATGACGGCCACTAATAGTACGTGCTCAGAAGGGACATCTGCTCCAGGGTATGTGCAAGCTCTTTTGACAGTTGTGCTGAATCTACCGTTTATAAGAATGAAGTCTATCTGGTTTCTTATTATGTTATGAGCTCTATCGGCTAGAGATTTCCAAGTATAAAGGCGACGGGGGTGGAGTTGGAACCATGTGTTGGTAACTCTCATGTTTTCTTCTTGACAAAATTATATAAGTCGGTCGCCCCTTTCGTTCCTTGTTCCAAGACCATAGGGTCCAACTATGTCGTCAAAGCTGCCCTTCCTCATTTTGGAATTAAAATCTCCTATAATTATGTTGACATCATGTTTCTTTGACAATTTAAGTAGTTCTTTGATTTCACTATAAAAGTTTTCTACTACTTCATCTGATGCGTCTGTAGTTGGTGCATAAACCTGTATGATGTTGAGATTATTTGGCTTCGCTTCAAGTTTTACTAAGGCTGTGCGGTCGAAATATGGTACAAACTCTGTGACAGCTCTCACCAATCTTTTAGTTATCATAATCCCGACACCTTTTCTATGATCGCGGTCATCATTGCCCGAGTAAAAGAATGTTCCGCTTTCTGTAGTGCATTTATCGGATCCAGGCCACCAGGTTTCTGAGATCTCAAGGATATCTAGATCTAATCTGCTGGATCCCATTGGTTTTTATAAAAAAAAATAATTATCCGAGAAGCCATAGAGATTAAAAAATGACCGAATTGTCTTAAGAAAAGGATAACGGTACTGGATTGCCTTTGGCATGGAAACCTCTCCTAAAGAAAATATCGTTCACTTCACCTACTTTTAAATTTCCGTAGTCAAAAATTTTCGCGCCAACCCCCAGCCAAACGCCACGTCAGTGAACCACGTCATCATCCCATTTATATGGAGGTCTTCCGTTCGAGCCTTCTTCCGACTGGTTGTGACATTAAATTTTGGGCTAGATTATTGGGTTGATCTATTAGTCTCTGATCATATTGTTGACAGAGTTTGGTGACTTTTAAGCATGTCAACACTGGATCTAACTGCTGTTCCCCATAGCCAAATTCCATATTAAATGAGTTTTAAAATAACTTTTTATGTTAAAATTTTGTTGTTGATTAACAGTTTAGACTTCCGTTCTATTAACCAATATAGTTTGCTGAGTTTTAAACCCAGCTGTTTTCGCTTGGTAAATAACGTTATGTTATGTTGTACAAAACAACGTTATATACAATATTTTGTAACCGTATGTATTTTAAAGGGTATTTACCATGATATTTTGGTGGCTCAGGCATGTTAACCTTGGAAGTATAACCATTTTTGCTTTTTTAACCTTGGTCAAAATTTTAAACCGCGTTTGCTTTAACTAAATGGTTTATACTTATTTTAGGCATTTTTAAACCTGATGATGGAATTATTATTCCGAAAACGTTCGTGTTATTTGATGTAGCCCTTTTAAGTTTTAAATATACCCATTTATAAAGATCTAACCTCTTTTTTGCAATATTTTCTGTTTTCTAGCGATTGGCATATTTGCTGGTAAACCCGGTGAATTTATTAGTGATGGGGTAATCGACTAGTCGACTAGTGGTTTAACCGATTAGTACTCAGACTATCGACTAGTCGATTGTTTTGACTAGTCGATTGTACACGGTTAAACGACAAACGACTAGTTCTAGAATAGAAGGTAAATCAATAAATTCATTCATAAATCAAGAGAAAGCATTCCGGAAACCAAGAGTCGGCTATGGTCGGTTCAAGTAGGCTAGTGTTAGCGACTACTTTGAACTGAAGCATTTTATTCATAAGTTCTATACTGAGTATTTTTACATCGTTGCGTTGTCCCCATTAAGCAAAACACAAACTGAGACTGACAGTGACAGGTGACAGCTGACCACGCCTACCCCCGACTAGTCGACTAGACTAATCGATATTTAAAAGTAGTCGACTAGTCGCTAGTCGATAGTATAAAGTAATCGATAGTCCCATCACTAGAATTTATTCAGTGGGAGAGTGCTGTGGCATACAGCCAAACTGTTGATTTGGAGATGATGTATTATTGATTGTCAGATAAAATTGGCTCTATTCTAGATAACAGCAGTTTTTTTAATATTTTAAACATAATAGGGAGCGGGCTTGTAGGTCTTTAGGACTTATAACTTTATTTCCTCTAAGTATATTCCGAGTTTTGGAATTAATATTATTCGAGCTAATTTTCAAACTAGAGGAAATTGTCCTGTTTATAATACAGTTGTATAAAATTAATTATTAGGGCTATTATTAGGGCTTTTCTGGGTAATTTCTTTTAGATTCTTATGTTAATTAGGTCATAATCTAGGGAGTTTCTGGGGTTTAATTTAGTGTGAATAATGTTATTCATTTCGTTTATTGTAAAATTTTTTAGAGAAGTTTCAAGTTGATAGAAAGATTCTAAGTATATTTTTATTTTATTATCTATATTAATAGGTCGATCTGCAGGAGAAGACTGGAAAAACCATTTTAAGATGTTCAGCAAAAATTTCGGCTTTGTCTTTATTGCATTTTAAGGACGTTTTATTTAATTGGTTCCAGTTTATTGGAAATAAACTTCTTTCTAGTTTATTATTTTTTGCTAATATTGTAAAAATTATAATTATTCTGTTAATAATATATTTATGATTTATGTACAATTAGCTAATTGATTCGCTTAACTTGCAGAAAAAAGATATTGATATATTCTTCTTCATGTACCATGTCCTTTCAGAACGTTGGTTACCATCATAGCTATTTTAATTTTATTCACTGCCACCCTAAATAGCATGCTTGTATCTACACCATACCAATCTCGCCAGTTCTTCAACCATGAGGTTCTTCTTCGTCCTGGACTGCGTTTGCCTGCTATTTTTCCTTGCATGATATTTTGTAGCAATCTATATTTGGGACCTCTCATTACATGTCCGAAATATTTCAGCTTTCTCTGCTTGATGCTTTTTATGATCTCAGTAGTCTTGCTGAGACGTTCTAGTACTGTGGAGTTACGAATCTTCTCCACCCAGGAAACTTTTAAAATTCTTCTATAGCACCACATTTCGAAAGCCTCAAGGCGATTTAGATCGATTTTATTCACAGTCCAGGACTCGACAGGATAAAGTAAGACCGAGAACACGTAGCAGCGAAGTAGGCGGATCCTTAATGCCAATTTTAGGTCTCTGTTACATAACACCTTGGACATCCTTCTAAAAGCAGCTCTAGCCTGCTCTATTCTGGATCTAATTTCGCCGTGATTTTCTGCATTACAATTTAATTGCTGTCCAAGGTAGACGATTTTATCAACTTGCTCAAGTTTGGTATTATTTACATATATAGACGGTTTTATATTATGTTGTTTACTTATTACGAGTATTTTGGTTTTCCTTATGTTAAGATCCAGACCTGCCTCCCTACAACTCTCAACGACACTATCAAGTAGTGTTTGCAGATCTTCTTGACTAGAAGCTAGGAGTACTGTATCGTCCGCATATCGCAAATTATTGATGACTTCGCCGTTCACAAGTATTCCTTCTTGTTTTTCAGAGAGTGCTTTTCTGAAAATTCTTTCGGAGTAAACGTTAAAAAGCAGGGGTGACAAGAGGCATCCCTGCCGTACTCCTCTTTTAATATTGAGAGCTTGTGATTCCACACCATCTACTAAAACTGATGTCATGACACTGTTTGGCTAGATGTTGACTCTGGTTCTCGTATTTTACGCCGAATTTCTTTTTGTATGCTATTGTAAAGTGTTTCGCTGGTTTTTCCTAGTCGCCGTTGTTCCATCAAATCCAGTATATCATCTGTCATCCAATCCTGCTTTTTTTGATATATTGAACAAATATATTATGTTTAACTACTACTACTTTTGTTTAATTTATTATATATAACGTCTGATTGATTATCTTTATGTTTGGTCTACATTTTAACAGAAAACAACCTTTAAAAGAAAATATGGTATCCTTGCTATCTCTAAAGAAGATTTTGTAAAATCTTTTCCTATGTATTGTATTTGTAATGTATTTTTTTATTCCAAATTAATAAATCAAAAAATTTTAACAAAAAATTGTGTTAAAAAATTACCGGTCTAGAAATACCAAACACAAAATTTATCATTTTTAAACTTTAACATCAAACCTTTATATAGTGGACTCTAAAACTATACTTACCCCCTTCAATAAATATTAAAGATGCTAGAACCATTGTAAAGTATATCAAACAAAAGAAGTCCAGCCAATATCCAAAAGTCCTGGCACAAGAGAAATAAAGAAAGTATGCAGCACTGTTTAAATTTTGGTAGTTGTCGAATTCATTTTTCAGTATTTCTTGAGCTTTAAATGCTCTTATGGTTGTTAGGCCTTGCAGAGAGGCAGAGAGATGCGTGAATACTGGACTTCTAGCTAAAAAGAAGAATTTTTTAAATAGGTACATTCAAGAATGGCATGTTGTATATTTTTTAAACAAACGTCAGAGTTATAAGTATATAAAATCAAAAGATGTTACACTAAAATTAGTAAATACAATTATTATACGCACGAGTAAATCATTTTAATGAACTAGTGAATGGAAGGAATGACAATAGAATACTAATAGTTTCTAAGTTGTAGAAACCACTAGCGAGGAATGGGTTAAAAACATAATTGAGCACCTAATAAATAACAAAAAACTGAGAGGAGAAATGATGGATGCCAAAAGGAATTATATGATCTGATCAGAAAGATAGGGCAGGAGGAGAAGCACAAAGACTGGTCTTTAGGTATAATTAGGTATTATTTATTTTTCTTTTCTAGAAAACCTAAAAATTGCGAAGGGGGGGGGCAAACATATTTAAGTTGGACATTTGCACATTCAGGTACATATTTTCTAGCATTTAAATTGGTGGTTAGGTCACGACTAGTCAAGTGAAAAATCGATGAAGCTAGTGCTAAGTGTAAAACAAGTTTACATTTATCTGATGATGCCAAAGGAATTATTAGGAATGTTTATGAAGTGGTAAAAAAGATAATCCAAATCCAGAAAACGGCAGATTTCTCATCAAAGCAACATCTCGATTGACAATGATGCCATATACAGCAGTGTGAAAAGTTGTTACAAATAGAATTCAACTTCGTAAAAAGCGGAATGACTTTTCTTCATATAAAACAGTAAATGAAAAAACGCTGAAGTATTTAAAAGAGCAGTTTACAATTTCTATTCAAATAATTTGTCGTAATATTCTCGTCTAAATCGTGTTTCGATAACTAGTTAATACTTACTAACAGATTCCACTCTCTTTACATTTCTGCTCGTACTAACGTAAACCTTTCGTATAAAATAAAACAATATTGCAATTAATATTGTAGGAATGAGAATCCAAACTGTCAATGTTCCAATAACGAAACTATTTGCGATTGCCATCAGACCAATCTAAAAGAAGAAATAATATATAAATAAATATTAAAAGGGAAAATCTCAGTGGTTGGCTTGTAGCATTTTAAAATTTTTTGGTATATATTGAAATAACCCCGTATACGTTAAAACACCCAAAAAGTATTTTCAATCATTTTTGCGTCGACGAATCGATAATAAACCATTGTAAAGTTGTTTATATATCACAGATGTGTTCGCTCGAAGGATTTTTGTGCGTCAGAGAAATAGTAATTTAACCGTATATGTTTTGTTTATACCAAGTTGGGCGAATGGATTTTAAAGATAATTGCATGACACTCGCTGAGGTCGCTGTCAGGGGCAGTTGACTTCAGTGTTGGTCCAAATTTTACGTCAAATTTGAAATGTTTTGTGTTTTTTTGTCCCTTTTCATGAAAAATGTGTAGCAGTGTTAAGTTCATTGTATAGTTACAATTTAAGTAAAGGTTTGAATATTTGGTATAGGAGAACAGACATCGTTGTGTTTAGTCAAAAAAAACCTACAAATTTATTGAGAAAAGTGATTTTTACTCAATGTAATGTGTTAATTCTGAACGAGTAATTACTGTTTTTTATTTGTAAGCCGTCTCCCATTTGAGATATTTGTAAAACGGCTTTTACAACAAATTTGAAAAGTACCCACATGTGTTCCAGTCTTTTAAGAAGCCGAGTCTAAAGTTTGTGTCCAGAGCCCCAATTTAAAACTTAATTTGCTGTGTCCTAATTAAGAAGTCGTTTCACAACATAATTCGCAGTGTGAAATGCAATTTTTTGTGTGACAGTAAATCTCCAGTATAATTCCAATTCCCAACATTAGAAATTAAAAGTAAAAGTAACATTTAGTGAAACCTGTGTAACTTTTTTTTTGTTTGAACTTTTTTGCTTTCATAAGAGTTTGTGAAGAAATTGTAATATTTAAAATTGTAGATCTTAGGATGTGGCCAGGCTGTCATTTTAATTGTTCTCCGTATAAGATTTAGTTTTGACATATGACAGCTAGCTTTATCATTTTTGACATCTGGTAAATATCTAATAATATTTGAGACTTTGTTTTTGTTTTTAAAGAAGGTTAACCTCTATGCGTAGTTTATTTTAAAAAGATAATTTTTTATTTGTAATAATTTATTTCTGCTACAAATTATAGCCCAAGAACAATAGTTTTGTAGTATCTTCAACTTTTATAGTTTGTAATCGGATAGGACATAGTCTCTCTTTGTTATTTTGTATTTACTTTTGTAATTATTAATATAGTATTTTTGTATTGTCTATATTTGTAACTGTTTGTGGCGAGACAGTAATAAATATTTAATTTTTTCCTTAAACCAATTTATTTCTTTTGTTAAAAAAGTTTATAACCCCTTTTGAGATTTTTAGGAAAGAAGAGCCGTTTTCTTTCATCCAGCAGGAAGTTCTCTCAAAGCGGCATCCTTATTTTAAATAGCGACAGGACCTTCTTGTGTTTTATTTGTCTATTTGCCCAGGATATTCATGTAAGTATCCTCTTTTTGTTTCATTTTTGTAGTTGCTTCAGTCTAATCGTCTTACCATTCACCAGTTCTCCAAATAAACCCTGATATTTGCCCACAACAGTTTCGTTTATTTTGCTTGCCCTATCTCTGCCTCAATAATATCTGTTCCCAAATTTTCAACCCCCTATAATAATACCCTGTGGTGGGCAAAATATTTCGTTATAGGCTGTATACCGTAGTTTAACAAAAAATTTAGAACGAAGTAAAAACTTCTTATTTAAAATGGTATATTAAAAAAAGTGAAGTATAAATCATTAATTTATAAATTATCAGTGAAAATCTAGAAGTAAGTATTTGTAGTAAATACTTAAATCTTAAAAGTAGTTGTGGCTAGTTTTAACCACCCTTAAGATGTATTTATTCATTAGAATCTAGTCCCATCTGGTTTAAGCAACAACGAAATAGACAAGCCCCTATTTCAGGTGACATTTTAAAAAATAAAGATCAGTTTTTTATGAGGAAAAACAAAGAAAACTGATTTTCGTACTAGTCAAGATTGATTCAAAAACTTCAAAAAACGGTACGGAATACGATTTTCATTTGCCACTTCAGACGAAAAAAAAAAGTTTTTGGTAGCTGCATTGATTCAGCCCATGGATCAAAACGTTAATAAAACTCTCTTTTATATAAATTAACCTAATGCTGACATCACTTCAATTTTGACAAACTTTAACATCAAAGATGCGATTATCAATGTTGCGTTTGCCTGGCAGCAAGTCAAGCCTACTGCACTGAATAAATCGTGGAAGAATATTTAGTCCAACTCCGTTCCATAGAAATTAACAAAGAATCCAATGATCAACCTGTGCAAGTTGTACTACATACTGCCTTTCAAATTTGCAATGATATGACTAATACATCAGAATTAAGACAATCTTTATAAGAGTGGATTTTAGATGACAATCTCAATGCTGACTTAACAAATGAAGAAATAATTAAAGAAATGACAGAACTTGATGAACACATGACCCAGGAAGCACAGGATGAAAAATCCTGTCAACTATTATGATGCTATATTGGCAGCAAATACTATGATGTTTTGATGGGAGGAGAAAGCATTTGACTTTAAAAAAATTTGATGTTAAAGGAGATATTAGCACAAGCAATAACAGACTGTCTAGACAAGAAAAACCAAAAGACAATCAAATATTTCCTCAAAGTATGAGCACAGTATATATTTATATACATCCATAATTAATCTTACTTAATCTCTCTTAAAATAAATAACTTACGTTTTGAAGACGATACAGTAATAATTACGGATAACAACAATGATTTACAGAACCTAATGCAACGCCTTAATGAACGCTGTCATGAGTACGGACTGAAGATAAATTTAAAGAAAACTAAATGCATGATCATGACTAAATCTGCACATGCAAATATCCAATTGACTATTGAAGATATTGCAATTGAGAATGTTAATAACTATAATTATTTAGGAACATGGATAACATCAGATGTAGACCAAACCAAAGAAATTAAGACACGTATTGAAATAGCACGTACATCATTTATTAAACTTAAAAAGTTTCTTTGTTGTTGGGATATAAGGTTAGAACTACGCCTGAGAATGCTTCGATGTTACGTGTTCTCTACTCTTCTTTATGGTCTGGAAGCTTGGACACTAAAACAAGTTCATCTGAATAAGCTGGCCGCCTTTGAATTTTGGTGTTACAGAAGAATCCTACGAATATCATGGATTCAAAGAATGTCAAACATGGAAGTAACTAGAAGGATAGGAAATGAGGCGGAAATAATATTAACTATTAAAAAACGAAAACTTGAGTACTTGGGACATGTGATGAGAGGGAAAAAATAAGCATTATTACAACTTATTATGCAGGGCAAAATCCGAGGAAAGCGAAATGTGGGAAGACGAAGAATATCCTGGCTTAAGAACTTAAGGGAATGGTTTGAATGCAGTAGTGCAGAACTTTTTAGAGCGGCAGTCAACAGAGTCCGCATAGCCATGATGATCTCCAACCTTCGATAGAAGATGGAACTTAAAGAAGAATAATAATTAATCTACTTTATTTGCAGCATTTAGTTATTAGTACGTATAATGTTTATAAGTTATTATTTACACACTGTCGGTCAGATAGCTAAGCTGGCTAGGCGGCCGGTTCTCATTTTCTTCACTGCGAATGGTTCAGTGTAGTTGCCAAATGCGTAGTAACGCATTTGGCAACATTGAGTGATACGATTATTCCGACTCCATATTCATGTGATCCATTACTTTTTCCCCAGTAATACACCTTGTGATCTTCTATTTGTATTTCTCCAGAATCTGGCTATCTCATTTTAGCTGTTCCCATGATTTTAATATGCATTCTCTTCATCTCCTGTATTGCATTGTGGATTTTTCCTGCTTTATATAAAGTTTTGACATTCCATATGCAGATCTTGATATTCTTTCTATTTTAATTTATTATCTTATGGTAAACTGAAATTACCCCGGAATTTATTTTAGTATTGAACATGGCCATGATTGATTAACTAGGGTGTTAATCAGTAAGTCATTTAAACACAAACAAACAACAACAATCAGTAAGTGGGGGATTGCTTATACCGGAAATCGCTCGGTGAATGACTCGTCACATTGAATGACTCGTCACATTGAAGAGTATAAAGTAGAAGGAAATATGGTGACCCGTCGGCCCTCGGAAACCTAATACCCATTCGGGATCGGAAGAAATAAGAGTTAGCCAAGAGAGGCTGATAGGAAAGATTAAAGACATATCACTCAAGTCAAGTTAAAGAAGAGTAATTTGTGAAGGCCCTTATGATGCGCCATATTTTTTTCCGCTCATACCTCGGAGTGTTGACTACAGACTGTAAGGCTCGTCCATCATTTTTACAATGGAGACACCCCAACTCCATGGCCTGACCAACCAATATATAAATAGGAATGGGAATAGGATGCAAAGATTCCGGTGCTAATTAAGAACGAAGAAACAAATCAAAATTATGTTCTAGACGGTCTTAATATAGCTCAGACGGTATTTTGATAAAATTAAGTTATTTAGTAATTTGTATATTATTAACATAAGGTTTATAAACCTTATATACTCACTTGCACTGTGTCCAACAAAGTCCTAGGCAACGCCTCGTCTATGGATCCAATATCTTTGGAAAATCTATTAAGAATTCTTCCTGAAGGGTTGACATTGAAAAACCTCATTGGACTGTATACTACATTAGCAAACATTTTGTTGTGTAGCCTTGTCGAAGCCGTTAAACTCCAGCTGTAGAAGGCTAAAGAACGTATCAACACCAATGTAATAATGACTAGAACGAGAATACCGTAATAGAACATAGTATTGTCAGTAAAAATAGGAGTTAGCCACCAGTCTGCATATGGGTCATCCTTGGTAAGATTTAGCGTCGTGGCGGTACTATTTAACGGTAAACTAATAGTGGTTGTGGTTAAAATGTCAGTTGTATTCGATACGTCTAGTATTTGCGAAACATTGGAAAGATGTGACATTCTCTGCTGAACATTTACCCTGAAAGTAAAGGAAAATATATTTTAAATATGTTGCTAAAACTTCTTCAATTATATTTAAGGAGTCCGAGCGTGTACTTAAACCAGTAAACATCTTTTTGTGCTTTGCTATGTTATCTTTATAAATCGCAGTGCTAGCGATAAAATTATTGTTATTATAACCTTGGAAGTAATTAATGAAAGCAAAACAAAATATACGGAGTGTACAAAATCGAATCAACATGAGAATCTGAAAGTAGACAACCATACCTACAAATATGCCTCCACTTTTCCCTACCTAGGCTCAATAATAAATGACAACAACAACATCAGCTAAGAAATACAAGTTACTGAATCGTGAGTCTAAGCTTAGAACCTACAAAGCAGTAATTAGACCAGTTGTCACATATGGACGTGAAACGTTGACCCTCTAAACCACTGATGAAAATCAACTGAGAATAGTTGAGCGCAAAATATTAAGGAAGATATTTGGACCAACCCAATGCAGCGATGGTTCGTGGAGAATTAAAATGAACCACGAGCTGGATGAACTAATGCAGAGCGCACATATTGTTAGATTTATAAAGTCACCAAGACTAAACTGGCTTGGTCACCTAGAAAGCATGCCAGATAATCAAGCTGTAAAAGTAGTCCAGAGATGGAAGCCCCAATGAAACAGAACAAGAGCCCCGTAAAAGACGAATAGATGACGTAGAGAGGGATCTTAAAACCATGAACATCAGGCAGTGGCGAAGGAAAGTATGCGACAGGGCAGAATGGAAGAACATTGTTAAGCAAGCCAAGACAATTAAATTTGATTAAAAATTAATTTGATCATAGTTAAAATCAAATAATATTAGTGGTAACATTTGTCTGACTACAAGGGCGATAATCAAGGCTGCCAGGTCTAGGGATTTATCCCGAATCTAGGGATATTTCAGCATAAAAGGGACAAAGGGATTTTTTTGATATTTATTGTAAAATCTAGGTATTTTTGACCGGCTCAAATATTTACCTACATAGGCCTATTATAATAACATTTTCTTTAATTCAGGTATAAAACCACTTATTATTAACAGTATTAAATAAGCGATCTTTCATTACACATAATTAAACTACTAGTAAACTACTGAAGGATTCTATTATCAGATGTCGCTAACTGTCCACGTTCTTGGAATCTTCATTGTATGCTACCAAATAGATTTCTGCCAAAAATAGAATCCTATCCTATATATTTTTATAAAGGAGAAGCAAATTCTGGAGCAGGAATTAGGGGATTTATTAAAATCTTAGGTTTTATAAAATAAATAATTAGGGGATTTACAGTAAGAATCGGGTGAATTCCAGGATTCGTGGAAATATATAAATAAAATTCTATGCCTCACCGCTCACCGTCTCATTTCTTTTTAAGTTGTATTTTGCATTAATTTTATTAAGTGAATAATACTTAATAATATATTAAATGTAATATTTAAAGCCATAAATAAGTACGTTATTCCGTGTTTGTTAAATTTATTCAAATCATCGCTATTGTACCGTTTAAAAATGAAATATTTTTGAAATAAAGGTATAAAACAACAATTATTTTTTTAGGCTGAGTTTACCGAAAGTACAAGCTGAATATAACCGCAAATGTCAAAAATATTTCGGCTTGGCAGTGTTGGCATGTTTTTATAATGCATATATTGTATGCTTCAAATATAGAGATAAAGCTTTTAAAATGTATATTTTGATTATACTATTTTATGATATTATGATATGATGATATATATGATTTATAATTGTCTCTTTCGAGATTAATTGCAAACATCTGGTGTAATCTGGCAACTGCTGATTTGACGATTGCCAAATCTATCTCCTAATCTACCAAAGGGTAATTGCTAAAAAAATTTCTAATAATTAACTGCAATTAATCTCCAAAGAAACAAATATTTACTCATTGTTGTTTTATATAAATCAAAAATTGCAGAATACACAACATAATATAAACAAAATGTACTTTTCTAAAGCTTTATATTTTTAGATTTGAAGCACACAGCATCTACATCATAAAAATATGCCAACACTGCTATACCGAGATTGTTGTTCCATGTTTGACATTTGTGGCTACATTCAGCTTGTACTTTCGGTAAATTCTACCTTTTTTAATTCCATGTTATTATATTAGGCAACCATTAATACATCATATCATTTTATTTAGAATTAGGCAACTATATATACATTTATTCCAATCTAGGGATTTCTAGGGACATTTTAATGTTCAATTTAGGGAGAAATGTTAGTTAGGAAAGAATGTTAATACATCGAACAGACCTCCAATAGTACTTAATTCTACATGATGTCTCAAAATTCTGTTAATCTTTCACGGCTGGCGCTTATACTCTGGACACTAATACTGGCGAGCGGTGTATTTGTCCACCCTGCCCTATAAAAGAATACTATAAAATCAAACTTACCAAATGGAAACAAAATACTCAGCCGAGCTATCCAGAAGCTGACTAAAGAGAAAGGCAAATATTAGTGCAACAACTTTGAGAACGTTGCCACCTGCTTTGGCGAAGTTAATATAAACACGTTTGGAAATCGTACCACTTCCAATTTTTTCCTTGTTCATAATTTGAAAGTCGTCATCCATGCCTTCACTTTCACTGCTCATCGAAATCATCCTAGACCTGCGCCTGACTTCTTCTTCTTCGTCTTCAATATTCGCTAAGAGTTTGCTGTATTCGCTGTTTGAGTTCTTCAAAAGTGAGTAAGGACCAGAGACTTCGATTTTACCGTTGTTCATTAGATAAATATTTTTGACTTTTTTTAAAAATTGCAGTTGGTGGGTAACTAGTACCACACATTTGCTACTAAGATAACCGCATATACATTCGTCGAAAAGTTGTTTTCCTAAAAAACGATAAAAAAATCAAGCTCATATTCATACTGTGTACTTTATAACTTTTATATATAACTCATTTGGAAAATATAATACTAAAAACACATGCGCGTAGTTTACACATTTATTAACCCAGATAACCCTGACATAAGAAACTGTATTAAAACTGCTATTTTATATCTTCTTTTTGGAACACGTAAGTACATTACTGAAATAATAGTTCAAAAAATGGCAACGTTCACAAAAAAACTACCGTCCTACATCTAGGACGTCAGAACCAAGCATTATCATTTCTCCGTCCACAAGAAGATGAAGTCGCTTTTGTATGAAGTGTAGAAAACATGGTATAGAAAATGCGGAACAATGGACATACCAGTATAAGAGAATATATTACATTCACTACTTTTTCGCAGATGATCAAGTCATTTTTGCACAAGACAGGGAGGATATGGAATATATGATAAGGAAATTAAAGGAAGAATATGAACTTTGGGGACTCAATATAAATATGTCATCATCATCAGTGGTGCTACAGCTCTAGTTGAGCCTTGACCTTCCCCAGTCTATTTCGCCAGTCGTTTCTGTTCATCGCCAACCGTTGCCAATTTGCCGCGCCGATCTTCCTTGCGTCCTCGTCCACACCGTCCCTCCATCTCAGTCGTGGTCTGCCTCTACTCCTATTTCCCACTGGGACCGATAATAGAGTTCGTCTGGGTGGGTAATTTTCATTTGCTCTTGACACATGTCCAGCCCATCTAAGCCTACCTATTTTTATGAAGGATATTATATCTCTACCATTTACTATTTTTTTATACTTCTCGTACAATTCGAAATTATATCGCCTTCTCCAAATACCATTCTCACAGAATGCGCCCATTATTCTTCTTAGTATCTTCCTTTCGAAGACGAGCAGAAGATTTGCGTCTGTTTTGGAGATGGTCCATGTTTCTGACCCATATGTCAGCACTGGTAGGATGAGTCTTCGATATATTATTAGTTTGGTTTTCTGGCTTAAATTTCTGTTTTTTAGCTGCTTGCTTAGTCCAAAATAACATTTGTTTGCTAGCAGTACCCTCCGTTTAACTTCTTCAGATGTGTCATTATCGTTTGTTATGAGAGAACCCAAATATGTAAACTTATTTACTGCCTCAAAATTATATTGGTCTATACTGAAGTTTTGTTCGGCGTTTCTAGCTCTATCTCTGTTATTTGGAATAGATGCTAACATTTTGGTTTTTTCCTCGTTTATTTTAAGGCCCATATTTTGTGCGGCTGTCAAGAAGGCGGAAGTCATCTCTTTAAGTCCTCGTGTAGTACGTGCAATCAAATCCAGATCGTCAGCGTAAGCCATAATCTGCGTTGATTTATTAAAGATTGTTCCCCTATTGTGTAACTCGGCATCTCTTATAGTCTTTTCCAACGCTATATTAAAGAGAAGGCACGCCAGCGCGTCTCCCTGCCGTAACCCTGCATATGTTTCAAACGCTTGTGACATATCGCCTTGTATTTGCACTCTGCAGATCACTTTACTCATAGTTGTTTTTACGAGCCTTATTAATTTATGGGGAATGTTAAGTTCATTCATGGCTTCGTATAATTTACCTCTTAGGACGCTATCATACGCTGACTTAAAGTCCACAAAGAGATGGAACGTGTCAATATTAAATTCATTGGTTTTTTCTAAGATTTGACGTAGCACAAAAATCTGGTCGATTGTTGACCTACCTGGCCTAAAACCGCTTTGATACTCACCAAGGATTTCTTCCACGTACGTACTTAAACGGCTGTACAGGGTATTGGAGAATATTTTGTACATTGTATTCAGAAGAGTTATACCCCTATAATTTTTACATTCCAACAAATCTCCCTTTTTGTGTAGTGGACATATGATTCCATTCCTCTGGCATTTGTTCTTCTTCCCAGACTTTGACTATGATGTTGTGAATTTGGTGCATAATGCTGTTACCTCCATGTTTGATGAGCTCTGCGGGGATACAATCCACTCCTGGAGACTTGCTATTTTTGAGTCGTGTGATTGAGTCTTTCACTTCAAATGTTGAAGGAGGTTCTACTTGAGTGTTATTGCTTGGTCTTTGGGGTGACGCATCATTTTCCACTTCGGTACCAAGTAGTTCTTTGAAGTGCTCAACCCATCTGCTTTGTACTGCGTCAGCGGTACTGACTATATGTCCATTTTTGTCTCTACACATCGTTAGCCGTGGTTTAAATTCTTTTCTTGTCTAATTTAGGATATTATAGAACTTTCTAGTTTCATTTTGCCCCTTTAATGATTGAAGCTCTTGCATAATCTGGTTTTCGAAGGTCCGCTTTTTCCTTCGATGTATGCGTTTTTCCTCCTTCCTAAGATCTTTGTACATTTGCTCCTTATCCCGTGTTCTTCTTTGTTGCATAAGTTTATATGCATAATTTTTTCTTTTAGTGATATCTTCACATTCATCGTCGAACCAACTGTTGCGTGGAGTGGATTCTTCTGGTCCTAGGACGTTGTTTGCCGCTTCCTTAATTGTTCTTTTACATATATCCCATTGCTCGCTAGCTGTTAAATTCTCATCTGTTGTGCTTTCATGTTCAAGGTAATTTTGATACCTTTCTAGTGCACGGGGCTCTTTCAAGAGTTTTAAATTGTAGCGAGTACTTTTCTTACCCTTTTCTTTTTTTGCATTTGAGATTCTTGCTCTTATTTTTGCGCCTACTAAGAAGTGGTCTGAATCTATATTAGCTCCACGATAAGTACGTACATCAATTAGATTAGCAAGCAATATAAATATGTGCAAGACCGAATACTTATGTATTGGACCCGAGGTTTCAGATTTGAACTTAAGTTAAGAAAAAGAGACTATTAAGATTTGTAAGACTTTTAAGTATTTAGGGTCAATGATTAGCCGAGATGGTACTTGTATGAAAGATATAGAAATGAAAATAGCACGGGGAAAACATGCCACAAGAGCACTTCATGGAGTGATATGGAACAACACTCTAACCAAAGAAAACAAAAAGAGGTACTTTCAAAGCATAGTGATGAATATTACCCTATATGAAGCGGAAGTATGGCCAATGACAACAACAATACGAAATAAAATAAGAACAGTTGAACTGAGAGACTTTATGAGAAGATGTCTACAAATCACAAGAGCGGATAGAATAAGAACGGAGGAAATATGTAACAGAATGGAAGTAGAATGCTCAATTACAAAAAAGTTGGAAAACAGAGCTCTGCAGTGGTACGGGAAGAAGACGGAGAGAAAGAACTGCTACAATATGGAAAACATACGTCGGAAATGCTATGATAGATAGAGACCTCAGAGAAGGAGACTGGGAGAATAGAGTGCTGTGGAGCACGAAAACGGCGAACTCATAATTGGAAAAGCCGAAGAAGAAGAAGAAGATCAACCTCAGGAATTTCTCTTTAATTATTTTTAAAGACATCCTAGGTTTGATAACATTTCACAAAAATATTTAATGACCATGATTTGGAATAAGTTTTACTTCTTTTTGTGTATATCAATAATCAGGGTTCGTTGACAAACCCACAAAACAAAATGTCTACTTATTTTCGAAACTGAAAAATAATATTTTATTTTGAAAGTCCTAAGTTTAGAAAAAAGATGAACGCAAGTATTTTTTAAATAGTATATTGCGAGATTGTTTACTGCTAAAAACCATCAATTTGTAAAAAATATTTAAAGAAACTAATAATTCAAAATTCAACACTGCTTCTGTAATTTTATTTGAATGTTGGATAAAGGTTAGTATAACTCTGTAATGTGTCTCTAGGCGTCTGTGTTACAATAGGGATCAATAGCGGATTATCAGCAGGTTAGTCTTTAAAATTTCGCATAGATCTTGTATTTCACATTAGCGACATATATCGTATAGAATACCTACGAGCATCAGAATGACAATTAAATGCGAAACATGATTTTTTCTACGATTATTCACAACAAAAAATTAAAAAATATGTTAAAAAATTATGTTTTCCCAAATACTAATCATATTAATTTGGAAAAAATAAACAAATAAATAAGTCTTTATACAATTTCGCCAGAAATTAATTTGCAGAGTGATATTATTGCGTTTTTTCTATAAGAAACTTTCTAATCCGATAATATCTACGGAACAAGTCAGTAGTACTTTATTTTGTTGATTTTTGCCTCAAATAATTCTTTGTGTGGAGAAAATTTCAAAGTAATTATTAGGGACACCCAAATTATTAGGGACACTGCATATATTTTTGTATTTTCTACTTAAAATTATTTTTTTGACCAAAAAAATTGGTGTTCATATCTGTATTTTACTTGGTAATTCTTCTGGTATAACTATTAAAATTTTTGATAAGCGGCAACAGTGGTAGACTGCTTGTATGAAATAATAAATATTGTTGCATCTCAGTTGGTCATCGGCTGTCAGCGCAGTGAGGTTTAAAAATATTTGCAAATCGTTTTAAATTGTTTTTGGTCGGTTTTCGTGTCAGATATATTTAACAGGTAAGTAATATTTGTTATTTATTAATTTTTGCTACATTTAATGACACGAGTTTATTTAAAAAGATTGTTTAAATTCAAAATTATTTTTTTAGCATGGGCAAAATTGCAGACTTGTCTCCAGGGAAAATAAGAGAAATAAAAACATTATTACTGCACTCGAGGCTTTCCCAGAGAGCTATAGCAACTACTGCAGGTGTTTCAAAGTCTATAGTTAATCGAATAAAAATAAAAATGAATTCAAACGAGGCATTGGAACCGGGCCGTCTTGGAAAATGTGGCAGGAAAAGGATTACTACTCCTCGTACTGATCGTAAAATTAGGGATATTTGTCTCCAAAATCGTGAAAAGAGTGTGACACATCTGACTACGATGATTAATGATGAAGGAATTAATGTTTCCAGAAGGATAGTACGACGACGACTGACCGAAGAGAATCTGCTAGGTCGCCGGCCTATGAAAAAACCACAGCTCACCGAAACCATGAAGAGAAAGAGACTAAAATGGGACAAACAACACCGAAGTATGACTGTTGAAGACTGGAGTCGAGTAAGTATGACTTTTTTTAACGAATGAAGTTTGTGAACAGTGAATATTATCATTTTTACAGGTATGCTTCTCCGACGAATCAACATTCCAGATTTTGGTGGATAAAAGTGCGTTTGTGCGACGACGTCCTGAGGAGCAGTTCCATCCAGATTGCATTGTGGAGAGAGTTAAACATCCGGTGAGTGTCATGGTGTGGTCTGTAATCTGGGCAAAGGGTATGGGACGCTTATACATCGTGGAAGGGACAATGAGACAGGACCAGTATAAGCGAGTACTTGAAACTCGGCTACTGCCCCAGCTCAAAGAATGGTTCCCTGGTGAAAAAAATTACATTTTTATGCACGATTCTGCACCGTGCCACAAAGTCAGGAGTGTAACTGCATATCTGAATAAAGAAAATATTGCAGTTCTGCCCTGGCCGGGAAACTCACCTGACATGAACCCTATAGAGAGCATGTGGGAGTTAACCATACGGGAGATCGCCAAAGATGTTATCACCACGAAGCGGCAGTTGATTGAAGCTCTTATTAGAGAATGGCATCATAACCCTAACTTAAAACACAACGCAGGAGTTTGTATTCAGAGCATGCCCCGACGCGTAGAAGCTGTAATTGCAGCAAAGGGTGGCATCACTAAATATTAAAATTAGTCATATTGTGTTAAAAAAAAATTTGCGAAAAAAATAAATGGTTTTACTAACAAAACTTAATGTTTTTGTGACCCTAATTTCTCAATCTCTTATACAAAAAATAAATGCAAGCCTTAAAGCCAACAATTGCAAAAAAAATCAGTAAAACTAAAAAATTTAGAAATCTTTTACTGTCCCTAATAATTTGGCCACCCACTGTAAATAAAACGGACCCATTGAGAGTGTCTTAAAAACTACTTACCAACATGAGTATCGACAGCAGATAAAGGATCATCCAGTAAATATATATCAGCATCTTTGTAAACAGCTCTTGCCAAGTTGATTCTAGCCCTTTGTCCTCCACTTAAGGTGACTCCACGTTCCCCTGCTAAAGTTCTATCTCCGTGAGGAAGAAGATTAAAATCTCGTTTCAATGCACAAGCTCTAACTACATCATCGTATTTTCTTTGGTCGAATTTTTGGCCGAAAAGGATGTTCTGTCGAATGCTGCCTCCAAACAGCCAAGGTTCTTGAGAGGCGTAAGATACTATTCCTCTGACGTTTACGGAACCACTTTGCAGCTCTAATTCTTTCATTATTACATGAAGTAAGGTAGTCTTTCCGCTTCCTACAGTACCTATAACAGCTACTACATTACCAGCTATGACATCGAAATTTATGTTATCCAAATTATTTTCGTTTAATGATTTAAGCCATTTGGCTGAAGCATTTCGAATGCTTATACTTGCGTCAGGGCCTCGAAGTCTTGGTTCACCACTTAAGGTAAGCTTACTTCCTGTATTTAGGGTCGCCTTGCTACCTCCAGTAAGCCATAACTTGCTTCCTTTGCTTGCCGAAAAGGTTTCTGTAGGTGGAGCAATTTCAGCACTTACTTCGTCGTACAACAAAAAAGTTTGTATTCTCTTTATGGAAACATATAATTCAGCTGATAGAGACACTGCGCTAGGGAAGTAATTGGTCACAGTATACAGGAGTCTGTAGTATGATGTGATTGCGTAGGCATAAGTAGCAGTTAAGGTATTACCAGTTAACACGTAGACAAGGATGCATATACCCACTGCGCATCTGTTTAGCAGCAAAGCGCAAGACATAAGTATTGCCCGAATAATTGAGGTAAATCGAATGTACTTCATTTCTTTCCTAAAAAAAAATATGTTCTAGGTCAGTTTCTTTGTCATAATTTAGCTTTTAAATTTTTTGATATAAGGTTGAATGCTCGAATAAATGAACTTTGATCAAATGGAAGGCATAAATCGAGCATAGTTTAACCACCTACTTAAATTTCCATTTTCTGATGATTACTTTAATTTAGAACTTAATACTCTCAAGCAAACTGCTTTCATAATGGTTATGATCCTAACATTATCCATAAACTTCTAAATAGAGCTAAACTCAAAATTACAGAAAAGCTTGCATATTCATTACAATGTTTGTTTCAAATCAATGCTTCAAATTACATCCAGATATTTCTCCTTCACTTATATTAGCAACATTTCCAATAAATATCTAAACTTTTTGCTTCTACAATTGAAAACGTTAAAATTTCCTTCAAGTCACACACTACTTTAGATTCCTTTTTAATCAACAAACATGAGATATAACAATACAAACCATCTGAGAATTCCTTTTACATAAAAAGAACTCCACGACGGTATGAACAGGTTAAAAAACTGGAAAGCTGCAGATGTGGATAATATATGCAGTAAACAAATAAATCATCTAGGTCAAGTAGTAAAAACCTGGATCTTGCAACTTTATAACACTGCTGCAAAGCCTGTAAAATTTCAAAATCATGGAGAAAATCTACAGCAATAGACTTGTTAAAACCAGAAAAGGACCCAGAAAATTCCAGTAACTACAGACCTATTTCGCTGTTGTGTCACTTTTTCAAACTATACGAGAGACTCATACTCACCAGAATAGAAAAAAATGTCGACAAGCACCTCATCTCACAACAAGGAAGATTCAGACCCAGCAAATCTTGCATCGGTCAAGACCTCGCACTAACAGAACACATTGTAGATGGATTTTAAGAAAAACTTGTAACAGGAGCTGCTTTCGTAGATTTCACAGCAGCCTAAGACATCGTAAGGCACAAGACATTGCCCGCAAATTATACGACACTCTCAATGACCATTTTTGGTTATGGTAAAAGGTAAATTAAGTAGGTGGAGAGTTCAGAAAAACAGACTCCGACAGGGAAGTGTTTTAGCATCAATGTTCTATAATATATACACAAACGACCAACCGACGCCGACCTCTATGCTAACGATCTTGCAATATGTGCTCAAGTAAATAATTTTGAAGAAGTGGAGGAGAAACTTGAAACTGCGTTAAAAACAATGACAGCGTACTAACTGCAAAATTCCCTGAGACCAAATTCCTCTAAAGCCCAAGTCTGCGATTTCAACCTTGGCGCAAAGAAAGTCAAGCAAAAACTCCAAATTGCGTGGAATGGTAATACATTAGAATACACAAACCAACCTATATGTCTTGGAATAACTCTGGAGCGGTCCCTCACCTACAGATAACATTGCATAAAAACGAGAGGAAAAGTAACAACTAGGAATAGAATACTCAGAAAGCTAACGGGAAGTAAATGGGGTGCACGTCCTGGCGTTTTATTAACAATGGTACAGGCACTGTGTTTCTTAACCGCTGAATATGCGTGCCCCGTTTGGGACAGATCTGCCCACACCAAACAAGTTAATACTGCGCTAAATGAGACATGCAAGATAGTAACGGGGTGCATGAAACCAATGCCACTTTCAAATCTATATAGAGCAGCGGGTTTTGCAGAACCCTCAACACGCAGAGGCGTTGCAGAGCACATAGAGGAAATTAAACAGATTGCGGACGAGCGGCATGTCCTATACAAAGCTCAAACACCACGACAGAATTTCCAAAAGGCGGATAATACATCTAATTCTGCTTTTTGCTCTAGAAAAGACTTTACCTGCTTCTCTTTCTTTTAAATATCGTCAAAAGTCTCCGCTTTGAGATGAAATGTGTACGGCTAGCTATGTTTACTGCGGTTTCACTTTTCAGCGTTCTTAAAGCTGCTGGCAAATTTTCTTTGGTCAATTTGTCCCGCAGGCCATTGCACTGATACTCGAAACACTTTTAATTGCTGTATACAAATAAATCATATCAATACAGCAAGCAAAATATACTTGTAAAGTAACAAAATCACAGCAAGAGAAATATAGCCACAGCCGTATAACCTTATTTTTCACCTGACCGTATTACTTAAGATTGTATTTTGATAATTTTCTACGAAAAAAATGTAATAAATCAAGAAATATACAATAAAATAAGCACATGTACACGATTTTTAAAGTTTACGAAACATATAAGTACAATTAATATAATAAAAACTACTATTTACAAAATAAGTTTTAATAGAATGGAATTAATCTTTTACAATGTCAAGTTGTTACACTGATTTCGGCACTAAATCGGTATAATAATGCTATTATACCGATATAGTATTCTATTTAACACTTTAGAGAATTTTATAATTAATGACTATCTTGAAGGATTGAGTCAGCATATAGAAGCAAAAAATTTAATTTTCGCATCCCGTATATCAAACGGTAGAATATGCATATATCTATCATCTGAAAAAATTGTAGATAAGTTCATAGCAGAAACAAAGAAGATAATAGTAAATGGAAATATACTAGAAGCGAGAAGATTAATAACTTCATAAGTCCGCCTAATTCTGTCCAATGCATGCCCAAGCATACCTTTTAACTTAATAATGGACGAATTAATAAAACTAGGTTTAAATCCTCGGTTTAGTCTCTCGACATAAATATTATATCTACAGATAGGAGCAACCAATCCTGCCTTTATTCATATTCTAAGCTTCCAAAGACAAATTTTCGTTTCACCTTTTCCAGACAACTTTGTAGTACCTGAATATTTTATCAGCAAATTAAATCAAACATTATACCACATACTTATTGCCTAAAACGAAACATGTTTCAAATGCAAAGTAACTGGAAACCAGGCAGCTAATTGTCCAAATCTATCACCTTCTAACCATCCTCACAATTACACTGCAATGCAAACATAAATGAGACAAAATTCATCAATAAGTCATAGTTAACAAGATAATCTAAAAAATACTCCCACAATCTCAAATACCACTCCCTCCACACTTACTACGTCTTCTCAAACCACATTACAAACTGTAGCAATCCCAAAATTACCAATAAACCAAATCCAACAATGGTCACTACAACATACATCTATATATTTGACCACTTCTTCAGTTAGCACTACAATCGCAATACCTCCATCGTCTGAGTCATCCTCTAATATCCAAAAACATAAATCAACCTCACCCGAAACAACTCAACACTTACCACCAAATAAAAATACACATATGAATTCTCACGAACGATATAGTGAAACCGGATGAAATAACCAAATTAATAGAGAAAGCAGGGCAGATACTGCCTCAAGGGGTCGAAATACGACGACTACCCATTATAGAAACAGAAGTCAGTCATGACGACAGATTTATAATAATCATCGTAGGGAACTTCATAGTGACAGGGAAAAATAAGTACAGCATGCTCAAAGTCACGGCCATACCACTTAACATTGAGGGGTCGGTGTTGCGCACATTTGTCGCCACAAGGAATCTACTGGTCGTAGATTATAACACACTGCACTAATTCGAATTGACCGCGGAAGATAGAGAAAGGTGCTTACTGTTGACAAAGGCGCAGATAGCGTGCTCACCAACGGATATAAGAAACATGGATACCCACTCAAATTGCATACTTGAAGAAATTTATGAGCGATCTAAGAATAGCACATGTCCACTGGTAGCCAGGACAATACAGACAGCTCAATGGAGTAAGATGGGTACTCCCAACCTCTGGCTAGTTGTCACGTCAGTCACGATACACATATCCATTGTTTGCGATGGAAATCGGAGCGAAAGAGTATTGGAACGAGTTACATTCCTGAAGCTTTCACCCAAATGTATCGCCCATACGAAAAATATTACATTACTCCCCACTACCAGTGGGGTGGACAGAGCGGTGACGAGTTACCTGAAGTCGCCAATAACTCCCGTTGCCCAACTGGTGGCGAGGACACCCCGCAGGTTTAACACACCTCTAAAAACCTACCTTGACAGACCAGGAGGAGAGCTACGTCATGTGTTACTTGAGGAGGAGAGTGTGGAACAAGAAATAGTGTGGAACAGGAAGTACCTGTATTAGTTAATAATCGGCACAACAATGTACCGTCGACTTCCCAAGCCGACATCCCACTCTCCACATTTTCATCCAATTGCCCTAATTTTAATCTAGAGATAGAGTCGGACATTGATAGCTAGGGTACGGTTGGAAGATTATTGATTATTCTTAAACTATTTATAATTTAATTATAAATTATAACTATTTATAATTTATAATTTAAAACTATTTATAATATGATACGGTCAATCAAAGTGAAATGCTCCAAGCTCTAACACAATGTAGAATAGATCACCGATACATATCTCTCATCAGATACATCTATCAACATGCTACAGCCTGTGTAAGACTTAATGAAGATACTGGGACTTTTCGTATTGAAAGAGGCGTTCGGCAAGGAGACAACATGTCTCCTAAATTATTTACAACTTTGCTAGAATACGCTTGTAAAACAATAGATTGGAACGAAAAGGGCATCAATGTAGATGGAAAATTGTTAAATAACCTTAAATTTGCAGATGATATCGTTCTTATTGCAGACAGCTTTGATCAGGCACAGATAATGCTCCAAGAACTCCATACTGCCACAAAAAGAGTTGGTTTTAAAATAAATTTTTCAAAAACACAATTTATGACAAATTTAGTCCACAACAAAAACAACTCAGTAGAAGACAAAGATATTGAGCCAGTTGACTCCTATAAATACTTAGGCCATGAGATCAGAATAAGTCGAGACAACCAAACAATCGAGCTGAAAAGAAGAATAAACCTCGCTTGAGAAAGAAAAGTATTTAATCAATGTATTTTGCCAGTGATGACCTACGGCGCAGAAACCCTAACGCTTACAAGAACAACAGTGAGTAAACTACAAGTTGCGGAAAGAGCAATGGAGAGAATTATGTTAGGGATTTCTCTTAGTGATAGAATACCCAATGCTACTATACGCAAAAGATCAGGAGTAGCAGACGTTATTGAAAGGATAACAACACTAAAGTGGAACTGGGCAGGTCATGTAGCAAGATCAGTTGATGACCGGTGAACAAAAATAATTTTGGAATGGAGACCCAGAATACAAGCTTACAGAAATAGAGGTCGACCCCCAACGAGATGGACAGATGACATAAAAAGAGTGACTACAAATTGGATTCAGATGGCGCAAAATCCAGTATGTCCAAAGTAGTCCAAATCGCAGTATGTCCAATATCAAATCTTCAGAATTCATATCCGAAATTGGACAGTATAATTTTATCACCCAGTAGACCGAATGAATTTATTTGTTATTAAATACACACACGTAGTTAATTAGCTTACATTAGATTTGGTCAATTATCAACAATAAAATTTGGACATCAGTCGAAAGTGCTGACGAAAGTTAAACAATTTACACACAACTTAGATACACATGTCATTAGGTCCGCGAATATATTGACCCAATTAAAACTTGCCTAGAGAAAACTTAAATCTCTTGTCTAGAGAAACATTCAATCAATATTCACTCAACAAACGTGATAGTCTTCAACGCTCAACTGCAACAGTCTCTACTCAAAGTAATCCCGGGTCACCACCCATAGTGTACGTCTCGTCAATAAACTCTGCTACTATTATTTTGTGTTTCCATTACAACTGAACGAACATCTTCACTAAGCCAACGAAGGGGAATTTATTCACAAAGCAACCGGAAAAAGAACCCTAGAAGATGCAATCACGCCACCCGTCGAAGAAAACTTTGAAAAACCAACCTTCAATTAAAGAAATAAACCAAAACTGATAACAAAAACTTAAGAGATGAGATACCAAATCTCCAAACATTACTAAAACCAGTTAGAGAATACAGGATCAAAAGACATAATCAGCGTAACAAAATTGTACTCAGAAGACTCTCATGCACTCATAAAGTTTCTAACGGAATTACATCGATACTACATCGACAAAAGAATAAAAACCAAAAGCACCAAATTAATACGAAATCTTGGCAAACACATAGGTTTACTCTCTGCAGTGAAAACTTCATTGTCGGAAGAATATTCCGACTCATCGGTAAATAATTCCTCTAAAGAATAATAAGATCACTGTTGACTTCATGTTTGTTCCATCACATTCAGGTACACAAGGAATTGATGAAGCAGATAAACTAGCCCGCTTAGCATCCTTCAGCCAGGACCCCATTCTTATTAATGAGTTTTCTTCTGCTGACTTTAAGTCAGAATAACACGTTTGCGACTAGGACACAGTAATTTAACACATAAACACCTCTTTACTCGAACTGTACCGCCAATGTATGAAAATTGTCAAGTAACACTCTTCGCTAAGCATATACTCAGTGCAAAACGTATGAAGCAGTAAGAAAGAAGCACACTATCCCAAATAATATAAAGGAAGCCTTAGGAAAAAACATAAATATTAAAAACTCAATAAATTATCTTAACGACTCGGGACTGTATCAATTATTGTATTTTTTTCTGACTTTACCTGTATTATATTTTTTAGGTCGCTAATAACTCTTTTGGATACAGCGTAAATAAATTTAAAAAAATGCTACTATTAAATATTTCTATCGTTGAAACATAAAAATAGTAGGAAATTTGTTAGATGTTACTTGTGCTTACCTTATTTACTCATTTTTTTATGAAAATTTACTAATAAGTGTTTAAAATCTGGATACTTACATTCTCACAAATTCGACGAGTTTTGTAAAGGGATATTCCCAAGTATACATCTTAATAACTTGTATTCCAGTTATAATTTCATTCATCAGTCTTACTCTCTCATCAGTTCTGTTGGCAGTTTGGAGCCTGAATTTTGACGTCTTTTTACCAAGCCAAACTAAAAATGTAGAAATTATAGAATATGCTCAGATGAACTAACTTATTATTGTATTGTCAAACAACGATCATCAATTGAATGTAAATTTAAAATCATTCTAAGGTGAGTAATTGAACTAGTAATTGCATGAAAAAATGTATTTTGCTTTTTACATTGTTTTTATTTGATAATTTGCATTATATGTAGTTTGCTCATATTTATAAGATTGTTTATGTAAACATTATAAATATCAATGAATCCAAATTGAATCATTGGCCCATTGTAGAGGTCTCCAAATAGCATAATTAGGAAGTCGTGTGAATTTTGTTCCACAGAATTTACAGAAGAGCCACAGACAAGTCATGCCAAAAAAAAAAGCATAGAAAAACCAACTTGGACAGACAACAATTTAATTATCAATATAAGGTTGAATGTTCGAATAAATGAACTTTGATGGTACACAAGTAAATATCGAACACAGTATTTAATAAAATCTTGCCCAAGTACTTTCGATCACAAGATCATCTTCGAGGGCATTTCGTCAATTGTGGCCTATCCAGCAGTAACAGAATGTCATAAATGTAAATTGGGACATAACAAATACACTAAACAAAGACAAACAAACACTTTAAAATTAAAAATTGGAGAAGCTACATTTTATATAGAAGCCGGAGACAGAATTCTCTTTGATGGTACACAAGGCAAATATCGAACACAGTATTTAATCAAATCTTGCCCAAGTACTTTCGACCACAAGATCATCTTCAGGGGCATTTCGTCAGTTGTGGCCTATCCAGCAGTAACAGAATGTCATAAATGTAAATTGGGACATAACAAAGAATGAATTCTGTCTCCGGCTTCTATATAAAATGTAGCTTCTCCAATTTTAAATTTTAAAGTGTTTGTTTGTCTTTGTTTAGTGTATTTGTTATGTCCCAATTTACATTTATGACATTCTGTTACTGCTGGATAGGCCACAACTGACGAAATGCCCCTGAAGATGATCTTGTGATCGAAAGTACTTGGGCAAGATTTGATTAAATACTGTGTTTGATATTTGCCTTGTGTACCATCAAAGAACAATTTAATTGATGTAAACAGCGAATACAGTGGTGATTTTTTGGTTGATGAAAATATTTATACGCCTTTCCAATATTTTAAAATATTGTATGACTATAATTATTCAAGATTTTGCTGAGCAGACTAACTTGTATTGTGTGCAAAAAGACAGTAAAAATATTGATACAAATGCAGCAGAGATAGAGTAGTTCTTAGACATACATGTCTTCTTCTTCTTAACGTGCCCTATCAAGTCGCCTTGACGTTGGCGATTAACATGGCGAAACTGTCTCTGTCTCGAGCTATTCTAAATAGTTGCTCAGCTTTCTTTATTCCTGTCCACTCCCTGATATTTTTCAACCAAGAGGCTGAATATGATGGCATACCTAAATGTGATGGATTGTATTTATCAGAATTCCATTAACTTTCACGCCCCATTCCAAATTATGCAGCGCTTCTTTAAATATTTTATCTGAATATAAATTAAATAACAGTGGGGATAGTATACAACCCTGTCTGACACCTCTTTGTATTTTACATATTTCTGTTGATTTTCCGTTTATGCAAGCTGTCGCTGTTTGACGCCAGTATAACTTTTCTATGAATCGTATGTCTTGACTATCAACTCCTTTATCTTTTAATATTGTAATTAATTTGTGATGCTGTAATCGATCAAAGGCCTTTTCATAGTCAATAAATACAGCAAAGATGTCTTTCCTTTGATCTCGACATTTCTGCAGTAATACATTTAGTGCAAAGAGGGCGTCCCGAGTTCCCAGTCCATTTCTGAAGCCAAATTGTGTTTCATCCTGATCTTCTTCACATTTATCTCTGATTCTACTGTGGATGATGCGTAGAAATATTTTTAAAGTGTGGCTCATAAGGCTTATCATTCTATAATCGCTACAGTTTTTCGGACGTTGTTTTTTTGGTAGTGTTATGAATTCGGACTTTAACCAATCTTCCGGGATATCACCAGTCGAATAAATATCATTGAAAAGTTTCACCAGTATTCCAATGTTCTCCTCATTTATAAGCTTTAACATCTCTGTCGGTATGTTATCAGGGCCAACGGCTTTCTTGTTCTTTGGTAGCTTTATAGCATGCAGTATTTCTGATTTTAGTATTTCTGGTCCTTCACCTTCAACTAAAGTCCCCGGTTCTTCGAGTCTATCATCATTATACAGTTCACTTATATAATTACACCAGGTTGTTCGAATTTCATGTTCGTCTATTATCATTTTTCCCGACGAATCGGTTATAGTATGTGGAGTTTTCTTATGATAAAGATCAGCTACTTCTCTAACTTTTTTAAACATATTAAACGTATCATGTTTTTCATTCAACTTTTCTAATTCCTTGCATTTATCCTTCATCCATTTTCTTTAGCCACCTTAATTTTTTGTTTAATTAGTTTCTGTTTTTCCTTATATTCTGTCTTATTACCTTTCAGTTTCCTTCTCTGCTCCATTAATTCCAGGATTTCATCAGTCATCCAATGTTGTTTTTTGTGCCTGTGTAACGTTGTTGAATATTTTTCTATTACTTTCAAGGTAAGATCTTTAAATGTGTTCCATATTTCTTTGTTGTTTTCATTTATTGATTTCTTTAGCTCATTGTTTAAGTCATTTTCTATTAACGTTTTGTTGGATATTGAGGTATTTAATTTTGGTGTTTTGGGGCTTTCTTGGGCTTTTTTGAGCTTCACTTTGATGTCAGTTATTACAGGGTTATGGTCTGAACCGATATCTGCACCAGGATATGTATTGAGGCATACATGTTTGAATGGAATTGTTCGTGTTCCTTCGTATAGAATGTATTGTGCAGAAGAAACATGATATAATACGAAAGCTGATATAATGTCACGTAATCGTTTTGATAAACTGCGAGCATATTTTTACGTCAACGATAATTTGAAAGTCTCGTCTAGCAACAATGACAAATTATATAAAGTAAAACCTGTCATTGAAAAAGTTCGGCAAAATATGAATAAGATAGAACCTGAGGAATTCAACAGTATCGATCAGTTTAATATACCATTCAAAAGACATAGTAATCTAAAGCAATATGTAAAAAATAAACCTCATAAATGAGGCATAAAAGTTTTTGCAAAAGCAGGACTCAGCGGCATGCTATACAATTTTGAGATATATGTGGGAAAAGGAACAGTCCAAGATGAATCAAATCTTGGAATTAGTGGGGAAATAGTACTGAAGTTGGTCAGAAATCTGCCAAACCACATGAATTTCAAGATTTTCACGAATAATTGGTTCACATCTTATAATCTACTTATTAGTCTGAAAGAACGGGGCTTTTATTGCTGCAGGGACTGTAAGAAGCAGGTGGCTGGCAAGTTGTCTTTTTTCAGAAGACAAAGTTCTAATGACAAAAGGTCGTGGATCCTCTGATGTAAAAATAGACAGCAAAAAAATATTACTGCTCTCAAATGGTATGACAATAAGTACGTCATATTTGCATCGAACTATATAGGAAAATATCCTCTTTATAAAGTGAAGATATGATGCAACAAGAGTAAAACCTATGTAGAAATAGCAATTGTCAAAGAATATAATATTTCATAAATAATATTGGGGATGTGAATTTGCATGACATGCTTGTGGAACTATATAGAATCAAAATCAAACCAAAAAGATTCTATTTAAGAATAATATTTAATCTTATTGATACATGTATTGTCAACTCCTTCAACTCTGACACTGTAAACAAAAACAAGTGAAACACATCATCCTTCTTCAATTCAAATCTCAAGTTTTACATGCGTTACTGAAAGCTGGAAAGCCCGACACGAGAAAACGAGGACGTTCTTCTCAAGAGAATACACCAAATAAGAGACTAGTAATGCATCCTGCATCAGTGGAAGATGTTCGATTTGATGGCATAGGACACTGGCCACTACATAGTCAAAATCGCACAAGGTGCAAATTATGTATACAGTCTTACTTCAGAATAAAATATTCTAGGTGCAATGTTTTTTATGTTTAAACAATAATAAAAATTGTTTTTATAGTTTCCATATACAAAATTAAATTTTTAATAGTATAAGTACAATAATCTACGTATTTCCTATTATAGTCAATTTTTAACCAGACCACTATATCAAGTGTTACAAGTGGATAATTGTGGTACCACCAACGTCAGATGATTCCAAATGGGATTAATTTTTTTGAGTTTGAAGACTCTAGGATGCAAAATTTTTACAAAAGTTGTTAACAATTATTTTTTCTTGTATCGTTTCCTATAACATACATTTTTTTTAACAAAATTTATTGAAAAAAAAAATTTGGGCTGAAAAGGGTTACCTATGTTATCTTACTCCAAAAATAAGTAATCCAAACCACACTTTGCTTTCGTAATAGAGTTTATTAAGTTTATGAAAATAACTTGGCGCTTGGACGCCTTTAATTTTTTTTAACTTTTCTGCATTTGTATGTACTATTGTCTATGAATTTTTACTACTAGTAATCCAATGTTCTTTAATTACTTACATTGCAAAGGAATTATCGACAACAACAACACTGCTCCGGCTAGGGCTGTAGTACCTATATTATGATAAAGTAAATACATAACCACCAACATCTCTATAGGTGCGACATACGTATATTGGAAGTAAAAAATTGAGTTATCGAATCTGTCTACGTCATTAGATAGTAAATTAACCATTTGTCCAATAGTAGTTTCCGCCAAGGCAGACTTACTTAACCTCAAGGCTTTTCTATAGATTAACGAACAAACAGAAACTCTCATCTTCAGAGCCATCTGGCTGTTGAGCAAGTTGAAGTTATGTGCCATGTTGTTGGTTATGAATGAGGTTACGATTATTAATAGTGCATACATATAGACGTCGCTTTTGTCGTCGTTGATCTTGTTGGATTCGTAGACGTAAATAAGTTGGGTTATCATGAAAGGCTGTGATATTCTAAAAAATAAAAAATATTAATAATACTAATAGAGGTGCTAGAGACATAAACTTTATAATAATTAAATTTATTAAAACTGTGGTGTATATAAAAATAAGCACGCTACCACCAATACTACGACCACTTGTTATATAAAACGACGTCATCGAGGCAGTGAACGAATTTGTATACTTGGGAGCGCTTCTTAACACTAAAAATAATACTACCGCAGAGATAAACCGCAGAATTTGAATTAAGAAATCTCCTCCTTAAATCCACAAATATACCGAGAAATACAAAAATAAAACGTAAAATAAATAAAATGATCAGTTGTTATCAACAGGTACTAGAAGACACTTTGTCTCAGGACCATGTAACCTATGTAGTCATACGTCGCCATGTTACCAATTCCAACGGTAACTTGAACATCCCAATTTTTAATAATATATAATGTAACAAAACTTTTTTTTCCTTATATGACGCATCAACCACGCAGGGTTATTAGCGTGTATGGATTGTGATACAAAGTTAGAGATTAACAATAGAATATTAACTATCGCAATACATAAATATAAATAAACCTAGATCTATACACAATAAAATATTAGATTTTTGATATCAGCTGGCAGTCTTTGAGAAAGGCGAAAATATTTTTAGTATTACTGTCTTTTACAAGAGCACTGTAATGTTGATGGAATGTTATACATTTTGCGTTGTACATCGTACTTGGGCCACTGCAATAAACAATATTTTACCGTTAAGACACTTTTACACATGTCACACACAGGTTTATCAGTACGTTTTAGTAGGTAGTCGTGTGTTAACCGAGTATGGCCAATTCATACAGCTTGGTTGGAGAGTTCTTCCATGTATCTTGCCATATTGAATTAATTTTTTCTTTAAAGAATGCTTTCAGGTCGGTGTGAAAACATTTCGTATTCTCTTCTGCATTTGGGTTAGAAGGTGCATTTTTTGCTATTTTATCTACAACCTCGTTTCCTTCGATTCCAGTATGTGACGGTACCCATATAAAATTAACTTTAATGTTCATATTCTCTGCATGTTTTAGTTCCTTTTTAATGAGAAGGAGTAGTGGATGGTTACAGTAGAGTTGGTTTAAAGCCATTATTGAGCTAAGAGAATATGTAATAATGATATTTCTCTTTTTATTTTTGTTGACTATCAAAACTAGTGCTTTTAGTATCGCATACAATTTAGCTGAGAACGTTGTTGTAAAGTAAAGTAAAGTAAAGGCACCCGTGGAAATAAGATATATTAAACAAAATAAATCCCAAGAACAGACAAACAAAGAATCCACAGGGCTCTATAACATAGACAGCTTAAAAAATGGGTCCACAAGTTTTCTTTATAAACTACGTTTGGCACAAAAATTAGACGAAGAAATAAATGGAACAGCGGAAGAAATGTATGAGACTTTGAAAATCAAAATTCATGAAGCAGCATTAGAAGCTCTAGGTACGAAAGAAAAAGTAAAACGTAGAAATTATTGGTGGACAGAAGGTTTATTAGAACTGGTAGAAGAAAAGCAAAAACTGTATCTTAAATGGTTAGCGACAAAAGATGAGGAAGACCGAAAGAACCATAACAGATACAAATATATAGTAAAAAAGGAAATTAAAAAAACAAAAAACATAACCTGGGACAAGTGTGCAGAAATAAGCTCAATGGTAGGAGGATCTAGGTCCAGATAAGCTTGGAAAACTATCAACAGTCTTAGAAAAAATACCAACGAAACAAAAAAAATAAACCCCATAGACATAGAAAGATGGAAAAATTATTATGAAAATCTATTAAATGAACAAAGTACACAGTTTCTAGACACACAGATAGACAGAGTTGAAACGGGGTTAAATGAAGTGGCGATGATTACCGTAGAAGAAATAAAAAACGCATTACAAAAAATGAAAAATAATAAAGCTCCTGGGCCGGGTGATTTACCTATCGAGTTATTCAAACATGCCACTGCAATAACATTAGAATTGCTTTGTAAAATGTTTAACAAGTGCCTACAAGAAGAAAGTATCCCAAGAGATTGGAAAGTCTCGTACATAAACTCCATCTACAAAAAGGGAAACAGGAATGACTGCAGTAATTACCGAGGTATCAGCATTACGTCATCCACCGGCAAACTGTATGAAAGAGTTCTGAAAGCCAGAATAGAAAAAGAAGCCACAGAGATCGAAGAACAAAGTGGATTCCGACCAGGGAGGTCTTGTGTCGACAATGTATTTACTCTCAAACATCTAACGGAAAAGAGATTAGCAAGAGGACTAGAACTTCATGCCACTTTTGTAGATCTCCGTATATGGACACATTGGAAAACGCAGGCATAAATGCAGTATATATAAATGCCGTGAAAAAGCTATATCAAGATAACCAAGCTTATATTAAGGGTTTCCAAATTTCCAAGGGTTTCACCCCAACAAAGGGTGTCAAACAGGGCTCTTGCCTCTCCCCAACCCTATTTAAAATATATCTTGGTAATGCTTTAAAATATTGGATGAGAAAATGCAGCCCAATGGGCATATGGGTAAATGACACTCCTATATACACAATCCTCTTCGCAGACGACCAGGTAGTTCTTGCCGAGGACCTACAAGATATGACGTACATGATAAACAAACTAATAGACGAATTCAAAAAATGGGGATTAGAGGTTAATACCGAAAAGACTCAATACATGAATATAGGAGGCATCGGTCAAGACATGGAAACAGAAAGCGGATTAATTAAAAACGTTGATCAGTACGAATATCTCGGAGTTACATTAAGCGAAGACGGGAGAGACGACAAAGATATAACAAGAAAAATAGGAAAAGGAAAAAACATGATAAAAACACTACATCCGATCCTGTGGAATAAAACTTTAACTAAGAAAACAAAGAAAAATATATATCAGGCTATGATTCAGCCGGTGCTGACGTATGGGTCAGAAGTGTGGGTCTTTAACAAGAATATGTCACAAAAACTCCTCTCAACGGAAATGATGTACTGGAGAAGATTTTCCGGGTTAACTTTGTTTGACCACATAAGAAATGAAAACATAAGAGAGAGAATGAAAGTAAAGAACACAATAATGGATACGATAGCCGAAAAACAATTAAAATGGTATGGACACCTGAGACGGATAAACGAAGAAAGGATACCACGAAAGGTTTGGAACTGGAGACCTACACAGAGAAATAAAAGGGGAAGGCCAAGAAAGAAATGGATATCCAATATTCATATAGAAATGGAACATAGAGGTCTTCAAGAAGGAGACTGGGCCGATAAGAAATTATGGCGATTGGGATACGAGAAGCGACAAAATTAAAGTTGCAAATACTCGCTATATATATATATATATATATATATATATATATATATATATATATAACGTTGTTGTATATGAAGGTAATTTGTAAGCTTCTGTAAACTCTGAAGAGTAGATTGCTGCCCCAGTTTCGTCTTCGTTTTTGGAGGCATCAGTGTAAACTTTGAAACAGCTACCATATTTGCTTAATATTTTTAGAAATTCTTGATTAATTAGACTTGCTGGCGTTTCTGACTTATTTAGGCGCAATAAGCTGGTGTCAGTAGAGGGAAGTGGAATTGTCCAAGGAGGAGGGGTTTGAATTGAGGAGATATCGTAGGTGTCTGGAAAATGGATACCCATTGTTAACAAGTAGGTATATAGACGGAAATAGAAAGGGTGATCAGTTCGATTTGAAGTTTGGAAACAACTTTTGAAGCTGTCAGCGAATACGTTGTGTATAACAGGATTATCTTGATTAGACGATACTGCCGCGGCTTAAGAAAGACTTAGATATTGTCTTCTAAATGTGAGTGGAATCTCTCCAGTTTCCCAGTATAGAGTTTGTACTGGACTTGTGTAGTGTGCTCCTGAGGAAATTCGGATGCCTGTATTTTGAATAACGTCTATTGTTTTTAAGTACGTTTTTTTGGAGGAGTTATACACAATTGAAAACTTTAAATTAACAACATTTATCGGGTTTTTACCTATTTTTTTTAATAAAACTGTACAACACAATAATCCGCCCAGTACTAACATATGGTTCAGAGACCTGAGCTCTAACAAAAATTAATAAAAACATGGATGTTTCGAAAGAAAAGTACTAAGGCGAATCTATGGAGCAGTGAATGACAATGGAGTATGAAGAAGACGATACAACTTCGCTCTTTATAGAATTTATTAGAACCAGATATCTTAAAACATATTAAGATGGGACGTCTGATGTATATAGGGCATGTAATGAGGATTGAACAAAATGAGCCAGCTAGAAAATCTATCTATACAGCCCTAAACATCCATTCTTGGATATAGGCTTCCTCCTACTTCTTCCATGCCTCACTATCTTGGGCAATTTGCATGCATTTTGACCCGGCGTGTTTCTTCAGGTCATCTGACCATCGCATTTGTGGCCTTCCCCTTTTTCGTTTGTGATTCCATGGTCTGCAATGTATAATTGTCTTAGTCCATCTTTCATCTTTCTGCCTTAGGGTGTGTCCGGCGAACTTCCATTTAAGCTTTGCTACTTGGGTTGAGACATCTGTCACTTTTGTTTTATTACGGATCCATTCGTTTCTTTTTCTGTCTGATAGTTTAATGTTCAGCATTTGTCATTCCATGGATTTTTCTGTCGTTGCTATTTTTTCCATATTTTCCTTTGTAAACGTCCATGTCTGAGAGTCATATGTGAGGACAGGGAGTATACATTAATTGAAGACTCTCGTTTTGAGGTATTGGTGGTATTTTGAATTCTTTAGAATATAAGACAGTTTTCCGAATGATGCCCGGGCCAATCTTATTCTTCTCTTTATTTCTTCGGTCTGATTTTCTTTATTTAATTTAGTGATTTGGTCTAGATATATATACTTTTTTACTTGTTCTATTCTTGTATGTGCTACTGTAATTATTAGTTCTTCTGGTTGATTAGTCATGGTTTTTGTTTTACTGTAATTCATCTTGAGTCCAATTTTTGTCGATTCTTTATCTAAT